ACAGTTATAAGGTTTTTAAGCTATGGATTCGACTTGTTTAGACGAGCTAAGTTACTTAACTTTAGGTACGACGGAGAAATATTCTTGTACGCTTTTTTAATTCTAATAATAATGATGCCGAATCACCGACTGCTTCCGTATCGGGACCGGGTGAAATTAGTTCTCCGTACAACACTGTACATCGGATTCACGTTGGCTACGACGGAAAAAAATTTACGGGTCTTCCTCAACCATGGCTAGATACACTCCTTAGAGACATCAGGTACTATCTTATATCTTCTAATCGAGAAACCTTTCAACATTGTTCAACAACCTTTCAACAACAACATTGTATTGTTTTATTGTGTTTAAGCGAAGCTGATCAAAAAAAGAATCCATCTGCTGTTGTGACAGCACTGAAGTTTTATGCCAAGACTGTAATGGCGCAAGATGCTGATAAACAAAAGTTTATGCTCACAAAGTCTCAACTACCTTCAGACGATGATGTAGAGGAAGAGTCATCACTGTCGCAACGGTCTTTATACAAAATAGGTTCATTCAGTAACGGTAGGCATGAAGTTTTTTGCTTCTTGACTTTGAAACAGTCTATCGAATATTTGAATTGCACGCTCCAGAAAATTTTATTTAGTTACAAGCACGCCCTCGTGTACTTCTCCTGTCTTATCAAACAGCAGTACGAAATCCCCTGTTGCATCGCCAGTTGCTGAGGACCAGAACGTTTTACCGCCGGTCCTCCCGCCACGACAAGCTAAAGTGCCTACAGCTCCTCCAGTTCCTCCTTCTCGAATTTCTAATAGGTTTTGTATAATTTTCTGTTTAGCTTAAGATCAAAAGTTACCTTTTGTTTTGACAGTAAATTTATATTAACAGTATTGCAGAAAAAACAATTTGTGTTTTTAGGGAGAATATACCAACAGTTGAAACTTTACCGCAAAAAACTTCAACTAGTCCGCGAAGAGCACCACCGCCCCTCCCACCCAAACCTGCTGTGAGACTTTCATTTAGATTATATTGCCAAAGCAGGTTACGCATCGCTAAAACTTTTTTTATCAAGTACATTTGCAGCACTTAAAATCCTCCAACTCTACGACGAAGCAACAGGCTTATAATTCTGGAGACAATGTCAGTTTTGTGGCTTCAAAAATTGTTAATGATAACGAAACAAATAAGAAAGCTGTTACAAATGCTGCTAGCGAAAAAAGTGGAAGTGTTGTTTCTGATTCTTCAAGGAACGATGTTGTTGGCAGTGAGGCAGATGACGACACATCTTCAAATGGGAATTACGAGCAGGTATAATCAGTCATGGGTCTTCTTCTCGGTTGATCTTTTTATCAAGTGTTGGTGGTTTTCGGCACTTGTTCCTGATAACTGTGTTTACTCTCTCAACTAGTCTGATGATTCATATGCAACTATTACTAGTAGAGTTCAGGTACAGGTGCGAAGAAGGGCGCAGCAAGGAGAAGAAGAAAATGATGAGAACGTTAACAAAGTTGTAAAGCCAAAACTAACGGATTCTGAGGTTGCACATTTGTTTCTCTTTCTTGTGCAGTAAATATTTATCTCCACATTTACGTTCCAACTAATCTTTTACAAAACTTTATGTTTTTTATCTCGTACACTAATTAGAATTGGTTGTTGAATTTGCTTCAGTTATAAACAGCAATTTTTTTTAGGCGGCGGGGGAGGGATAAATTATCGACTTTTCTTTCAGTGGTTTATAGACTATTTTATATGCAGTTTTTTTTGTTTTTCCAACTTTGAAAATAGGTGAGAGGTATAGTGGCTTTGTATTATGTATTCATTTTTTTCTTTTATACTGTTTAATTTTCGTTTTTCAGGTACTCGAAGAATTAAAACGAATTGTCAATGAAGGTGATCCAATAGAAAAATACGAGCTTATCCAGAAAATTGGTGTCGGGTAACTTACTAATGCACTTGTTTTTTTCATGTGTTTTTTTAGAGTTATGTTAGCATGTCTATGCAGATCAGTAAACTGTTGCCAAAGCTTAAAGCAAAGTCGGAATTTTAAGTTTTTGTTGAATTTTCTGTTTTTTTTTTTTTTTTTTTTGAAATTAGGAACAACATTCGCATTTAGCATTTTGAGTTAAGCTTCTGCTTTTGGTTACAGTAAGGATTCTTGCGTGGTGTTCAACATTTTTAGCTTAATTTATTCATTAAAATATTTGTATTCAGTTTATGACAAATGGTGGCCAAGAACATGAGATTTACTCACCATTATCTACTCCACGAACCCATTTTGGTGTAAATCATGTTTTAAAGTTATTGTTCGTTTGTTTCATCTTTAGGGCGGCAGGGGATAGCATCGTAAATCCTGATGAAAATTGCTTACTCTTTTGACTATTTAAATAATTTGTCTGCTTCTTGTAACTTTTTTGGAGTGAAGTGATTTTTGCGAATTCAATTATGCAGCAGAAAATTACAATATTGGTTCCCTCGTATATTACTACTCTTGCTTCTAGCGCATCTGGAAGGGTTTATACCGCCAGAGATCGAAGAAACGGGCAGATTGTTGCAGTTAAACGCATGGCTTTTGAAAGTCAGCCGAAGAAGGAATTACTTCTTACAGAAATAAAAGTGATGCAAAAATACAAACATGAGGTTGGATCTGTTGGGTTTCACGCATATTTTACTACGCTTAACAAATGCAGTTGTCAGGTATTAATAAGCTAAATTTCTTAATTTTTTTTTTTTTAGAACCTGGTAAATTATATTGATAGCTATCTCGTTGATGCAGATGATTTGTGGGTTGTGATGGATTATTTGGAGGGCGGCAATCTGACTGATGTTGTTGTGAAAACAGAGTTAGATGAAGGGCAAATTGCTGCTGTTTTGAAAGAATGTTTGCAAGCACTGAATTTTTTGCACAGGTGATTGTTTTTTTGCTGTATTTCTGTGTGGATAATTAAAAAGACGTATAGTGCAAATTTCTGCTTGAACATACTCTACTTAAAATTTGTCTAATTCAATTCTGTCTATGAGCTTGAAATAGTAGCAACTTTCTTCTCTTTCTCTTCTACCCTAAAAGATTTCTGGTGGGCAGGAAAGCAGGAGATACATATGTCGAGGGTGAATGAATTGTTTTGAAAAGTTTATTATGAAAAGATTTTCATTAATTGCTTAGATTTCTCTTTCGACGTAGAAGGACAATTTCTCTTTTCTCTCACGCTCAATTACTTCTTACAATTTTTTTTATTTTGCTTCTCTCAAGATTTTTTTTGGGTTTGTTTTTTTTGGGTTGTCATTCTTGTAGTATTTATTTCTGCTAGCTCTTGTTTCATTCTAGTCATGGTATTATACATCGCGATATAAAATCGGACAACGTGTTGCTGGGTATGGAGGGTGCGGTGAAGTTAACTGATTTTGGATTCTGTGCACAAATTCAACATGATTGCAAAAGGTTTTTTTCAATTTTTTTTATTGCAGACGATTCTTGAATTAGGATTGTAGTATGAAAATCACATTTACAGAGCCACAATGGTAGGAACTCCGTACTGGATGGCACCCGAAATAGTTAATAAAACAAAATATAGCTACAAGGTTGACATTTGGTCGTTAGGTATTATGGCATTGGAAATGTTAGATGGCGAGCCACCATATTTGCATGAAACGCCATTAAAGGTTCTATTTAATTTTTATTTCAGATAAGGTTTCTGTGGTATAGTTGAGTTTTATTTTTATTTGCAACTTTCTAGTTTCAATGAAATATTTTCTTTTTTTTTGATTATTTATGAAATTTGTTAAGTTACTCTAACAGTTTAAGTACACGTGATTCTAGGCAATTTATTTAATTGCACAAAATGGCAAACCTGAAGTGAAGAGAAAGGATATGTTGTCTGCAGAATTTAATGATTTTTTGGACCGTTGTTTGTGTGTTAATCAAGATGCGAGAGCGGACACTGTGGAACTCTTAAAACATCCATTCATACAAATGGCTAAACCGCTTAGCTCACTGATAGCGTACATACGTGCTGTGAAGGATCTCAAGTTGCAGCAAGGATAATTTTTTTGATAAGGAATATTCTTATTTGTTCTTTTGTAAATTCAGAGTAATTTTTTCAAGTTTTGGCATTGTATTGTATTATAGTATTTCCCTACTGTCTAGAATAAGAAGGGAAAAAAATTAATTGGTGCATGAGATTTTGAAGTACAGACGAATTTAGGAAATGTTGGTTTTTCAAAACACAGGGATCAAATCAAATTATTAACTCTGTCATGTATAAACGCCATTAATTTTGATCTATACTGTTATAAGTGTGGAACTAGTTCTGAGGATCTTGTGATTGAAGGCATTTCCTTCATTAAATATTATCTTTTTCATTTTTTTTTGGACCTTTTGCGGCGTGTGTGTTTTTGATTGCTTATCGGTTGATTTTTGTTGTGTGTACATTTTTGGACCCTAGCTCATGCATTTCTTCAAATTGCATGCTATAGCTTGCTGTTTAGAGTTTGCGTAACTGAAACCTTAGTTATGCATTTGATATTATGTTTTGAATATGAATTAAAAAAGGCAAACGAGAGTAGCAGTTAATTTTTTTTTTTTTTTTTTTTTTTGAGTTATATATATTTCGCTTACTTTTGCCTCGTTCCGTCATGTTTTTGTGGATTTCATCATTGTCATTGTTTTGGGTTTTTTTCTGTACAAGTATCAGTGGAAGGTTATTTAGTTGGTTGTCTTACCGATGTTTTTTTTTTGAAAACTGGTGGTTTTCGTTCAAGAGGTGTTGTCGAGATTTCCCTGTTGTGGTGATGATTTTTTTTTTTCTGTAGTTTAATGTGACAAGATGTGTTAGTTATCGTTGTTGCGTAAGCAGATCTTTGCCCTTTGCATAATATGCAGTCTGATGTTCTTTTATAGGTTTTGCCATGGGTTACTTATCAGAAGATGGAGACGTTAATTCTTCTTTTTTGCTTTCATTTTGCTTAAATTGCCTGTAGATTGTTGTATGAGAAATGCCTGCAACATATTTGTACGGTTAAAGCTGTATTTCACTTTTAGATCAGTATTTTTTCATTTGTTCTCGCTGCTTGTGTGTATAGAGTCAGCTTCGGAAGACGTCCCTGGGCACTGTTGCTCGTTTTTAGCTTTCATAAAACCAGTAACACCTAGAGAGCATCTTCATTGGCTTTGAGTTAGGGGGTCGCTTTTGACTTTCTCAGACGGTTGGGGTAAGACATAAGTGAAGTATTTCCGCTTGGTTGCACGGCATAGCAAATGATATGTTTGCCGTTGTCTTTGCATGCCATGTATTAATTTAATCATTTTGCCTTTGTCTTGCAATTTGGAAGTGAATTGAAAATGATGGTGGCGTGTGGGCTGGTGTCGTTTAAAACATGTCTAAGGTCTTGTTGAGGTTGCTTGAATGACTAATTATTGCTTGCGCGACTTTTATTGTAGCAGTTCATCCTTGTGCAGTCCTTACTGCGTGTATGGATCAAGTAGTGCAACAAGTCGGGATGGGTCTTCAAAAGGCTTAACGTTTTGCTTGACTAGTTTTATAAACTAAGTATGGAGACGCTTTAAGCACTGGCACTGATGTCACGGAGCAAAAACAGCACCGGCTGAGTGAACAGTGTCGAGTGTGGCGACATTTCTTCCATAAGGAGTACAAACTAGGAGATGGGTAGGGGCGTTTAACAGTTCTTGTGGCAAGAGTAATTAGAGGCAATTGTTTGCATAAAGACATAGAAATCTGTATTTCTGGAGTAGCCGTATAAGCTCGATGCAGATACGTTGCATTACATGTCCGAGGCGCTAGCTTTAAGAAGGACGTCTTTGAAGAAGAATGGCACAAACTGATACCCAAGTCCGAGGTAAAATTTTGATTGGAATTCCACCCTGAAAATCACAACAATAGTCACATTTTTTTTTTGAGTCCGGCAGGTTGTTTATAGGACCTTGAAATAATCAGATGATTTACAGAAGTTTGCTATAAGTTTTTTCACAAGACAAAGAAAAACAAACCAGTGTAAACGGATGGCATGCAAGAATGCAGACAGTCCTTCCATGAGGACTAAGATTGAAATTGTTAAGACAGCGAAAAAGATAAATATTACATAAAGCGCTATGTAGCCTGCTACACCAGAAAGTTGGAAAGACTGCTCCAAAACCATGCTCCAAAGCACTTCAGACAATTCTGAAACAGTGATACTCTATAATTCAAATATATTCTTTGACACTTCTGTGTCTACATTTGCGTTACAAAGTCTGGCGTTATGAACAATCTGCCGTCTAACTGTTTCTACCATTGTTTTTCTACACCAAAATTTAGAGGATTGAACTGATTAGTTGTGCCTATTTTTTGCGCAAAAAAATTTACGTGCGACTCAAATAGTCTACTCAGGTTTGTTTTACAACAAAACTGTTATTATTCAGAAGTTCAAGGCTGCGGTCCAACACCCGCATTGTCTGTGAAACTTACGCGCATGAGCCAAAGACAGCGCCCACAATCGAAGGTAAGAAGCTGTATGCGAGACACAACCTAATACATATTCTATGGTGTGGATGGCTTGATGCACCATTATATCTCCGAAGCTCTAAACGAGGAAATCTGCCCACTGATAAACTAAGAAAAAATAATATCAAAATGCTTTGAGGCATACAGTAGTGAGCTGAACCCTTCATACCTCATGCTCTTCAGGCTCTCTATTTTCTGATGTCGTCTGTTCGTTGAGCGGTTTTTCAAATGATTTACCCTGACCCTTGCCAATGCTTCCATTCGTGCTACTTTGACTGGCTAAGATTTCTGTTTCTTCAATTTCCATGTTGACACGTACAATCTGAAGGGGCCGAAGTTAGGCAAATTACTTAAAAATAGGCTTAGCAGTAAAGAACTATTGTCTCTTGCACCATTACTGTTCACATTTGATATTCATGGTCTTCGTGAGTTAAAGAAATGAATGCGGTAAATATTGTTCCTTCTCCACTTACCAGTTTATCGAGATCCTGAGTCTTCGCCTTTTTCTGCTGCATCAGTGTAAAAATGGGCTTACCAAAAAGCATCACCGGTATACATAGTACAGCAATAATAACTAGCACCGCTTCAACTACTGACTAAATTGGCATCATATTACTATGGTTAAGAATTACATCCTCCAGATTCAAGTTATTATAGTCAAATTCGTAATGGCGGAGGAGAAGAATGATAAAGCTTTGCACTTTAGTCCTGGGCTCTGAATCAGTCTTTTTTTCACACAATAATCTGACTGACCTGCCCCGGATACCACTGATTCAAATAGCAGTTTGGCAGCTCCTGATATTGCGCATTCGTCGCATTTTGACTTAAAACGCGTGTTGTGTTCACGAATCCAGGAGTGCGCTCTTTGAACATGAACATATTAATAAGTCCAATCTGAAAAAAGCGAGGAGTCAGTAACAGGTCTTATATTTTTAGCCGATTATCACTGTTCATTAAAATTGGGTTAAGCAATGTGTAAGTCTGCTAAACTTTACCAGAAGTGAGGGGGCACAGTGGGAGCCAGGGTAAAATTGCCCAAAAATGAAACCCTTGTTTGCTGAGAAGAAGATCCATTTGATAATAATTTCCAAACAAAGGTAGATGAAGATGCAAAGCATAAAAAGCATTTGAGGGATGAATACGGTAAGAATCTCAATTTTCGATTTGAAGAAACTGAAAAGACTTTAATGATTTCAGTCACTGATTGTTACTAAAGAAACTAAGTGTAAGCACTGACGTGTAATTCATTAACGAGAGCATAACCCCAAAAGTCATCTGGGCTATGCCTACAATTACTGAAAGTTTCATCTTCAACGAGTTAAGGAAGTTAAGCTTGTTTTCGCCTAAATTCCAAATTGGATCCATCCCGAAGAAGTATGGTCCGCGGTCATTTAAAAAAGCTCGTTCTGGTATCAAATCTCCCAGTACTTCTTTATGCTGAATCACCGACTGGTTCTCCCAACTTTCCAACTGATGAGCACTAGAAGTAAGCAAGATACTCTTTCAAAATTTAGATTAAACAGCGCTTTAGCAACTAGTCTCCACCTGAATAAGTCATTTTTTGGCTTGGAAACAGTCTTATTTCTTCCACTACTTCAGTTCATCATTATGTTATAATTTTTAACATCAAACACTAATGAAAATTTTTAGAAACAATACGCAAGCAAAAACTATGTCTACCTATAAATATTTCTCCAAGACGATCCAAAAATGTTGAATGACTTAGCGAAAGCATCGTTATACAATATGCCCGCATGCATCGAAAACAAACCCATCAGCAGAATGATGTAACGACCACCAAAGAACGTGTTAAATATCTATAAAAATTATCCTTTTCGCATCACACCTGGACATTTTTTACATGTTCCAGTAAATTCCTCTTTTTCTTCTAAGAACTGGAAGAAACAGGTCACCTATGCTGTATGGTGAACCATCAAACAAAGTAGTTTTACAAACCTCATCCTTTATCTTTTTTTTGATAAAATATTCCTCTTTAAGCACAAACAACAGCGCACCAAGAAACATGATTAAACCGTGTCCAAAGTCGCCAAACATACAAGCAAATATAAACGGGAACGATATAATTGTGAACGGTGCTGCAGTTAGAAAAAACATTTTAAAAAAACATTTTAGTAAAAGACATTTTAAAAAAATATTTTACTTCTTTTTTAAATGCTTAAAGTCAAATTTCAATGCTTACCTGGATTAACTTCGAGGTATGAAGCAATCCCATATGAATCGACGATCCCTTGAAAAACCTCTGTAAACTTGTTTACCTTGTTATAAGTTGGCGGTTCCTCAGAAGTTTCCAGTAAATTTAAAACCGGTTTTACCGTACTACCATTAATCTCCTTAAGATAAATTATGATGACTTCAACGTCGAGCGTGTCAAAAAAAGAGATCAAGAAGACAAATTAAGCATTATGCCTAATCTAAACAGCAATTGTTCGCTTACAAGAAAAATTTTCCTTTTAATTAGTAATAAGGAAAAGATATGTAGTAATACAATGCTGTACAAACCTACCACTGCTCTTTCCAAAGCTTGTCGCACATTTTCTAAGTCTGAAAGTGGAACCCAACACTCTGCGACGAAGAATTTGCCAATGCTGTCGAAAGTGAACAGGTTTAGAGTATGGTATACGGCTTTTTGAAGACGAACCTGAACTACATATGTAAATACGATGAGAAGAATGACTAAGCAAATTTTAATGTTCCACGAACAACCGGCATGCAAAAATTTTTGAAATTTAAAGGACCTGCTTCTGCCATTCTCGCATATTGCCTGCTGCAGCTTTCAGAACCTTGTAACGGTGTTCCTGAGTTTGACCCATGACAGTTTGTAGATCAGAAATGCGTGCTCGTACATCTCTAGAGGCTGCATGCCGATCCTAAGTAATCATCCAGAACGAATGATTAAAGAAAACAGTGTATCAACAAGAATCATGAACGACAGTATCCAAAACTCCAGTCTGTTATCAACAAATTAGTTGGTTGATAAATTCTGTTAATTAAAAAAAAATATTGCAAAGAAATAGTATTTCTGAACTCCTACCTTACTATTTCTTGGACACGTATTGTACAATTTTGCTTTAAACCCTTCGCAAACCTTTTCGATAATGTTTTTCAGTCGTTCACCTTTGCAAAACACGACAAAAACGGATTTGTTCTGATTTTCACCCTAAACTATTTATTACTTTGAGCAACAGACAAACAACAATAGCTTTATAGGTGGATATGCAAGAACCACGATCCAGTTTTTTGTAAGGAGTGCCAAATTTCACACATTTTGTATCTTTAATAGAAGATGAAAAGGGTCCAAAGTAATAATCAAGGGTCAATATAATTACCGCGTCGGGATCGAACAAAGGTTCACTGATCTCAGCTGTCCTCACAAATGCTGTTCTTCTACAAGCTCTCCAAATAACTCGTTCGAAAGCATTCACACGATCACGATTGATGACTCCAGTTAGAAAACTGAAAAGAATCAGGACGTGCAGATGTCCACTAATGAAAACGAATTAGAAAGTGTAAGAAGATTAAGGAAGTCATTTTTTCAAAAGTTACTACCATTCTATTCGACTCAGATTTAACTAGCAAAGTAAACAAAGTCCTAGTTTTCAAAAAATTACGTCATTGGTTCTTTTTCAGAACGTAAAGAAAACGGAAAATCTTCCTCTTCCACAGTTTGGATTTCTTGCATTGCAACGTCATTTATTCCCTAAAAAATATGATACTACTTGACATGTTGGTTTTTTTGGTAACAGCAATTCCATATATCAAAAGAAGCTTTTGAATCGCTAGTACACGACCGTTAATTGGTGAACTTACTCCTTGAAAAAATTGATCAGCCTTTTCAAGAATCGCTTCCCACTCTTTGAGTTCCAAATAGTTTTTACGTAACAACAGCTCACTTTCATTCATGTTCAGCAAATCTCTTTCTAAGTCGATTAGAGTCGTCTAGAAATACTAAGTGATACTGACATTAAACATCTCATGTCCACGTTTCTTTCACTTTTTGACATCATTTTGAAAAGTAAACGCTTACAATAATGCAACTGCATGCAATGATAACAAGAACTACGACACCTTTCCATATTATTAGAGGTATCGCTAAACCAATGGTGCCGGACAAATAAACGACTGATAAGAAACTCAACGAACAACAGTACGGTAATTATAAAAAAAACACTGTATCAGCAAACACGCTATTATACAGCAAATGTATTTATAGCACTGTAGTTTGCCGGAATGATAAAACAGTAAGAACAGACCTCGAGCTGATTTAGCTCATGCGGTGGCATCACTTCATAATTTCCTTCATCAGCTAATTCTGTTAACACAATACCATCTTTTTTAATTTGACTGTCAATAAACCCTAAAATAAATAAAATTTTTCTTTTTTCTGCTTTTTTCTGTCTATTTTGCGACTTTCCTTTGAAATAAACAAAACTTTTTCTATTTTTGCAACTAAAAATGATTAAGACCCAAATGCAAAAGAAAACATAATCCTTACTCAGTTTTCGCTCTAATTCATCAAACCGCCTGATATCTCGGACAAACATCCGTTGAAACTGATTGGTACTTTCATTTAACTACAAAAATCATATATTATGATTATGCAGAAGAGAAAAAAAAGCTTTTGATTTAGCTCTGGGAACTTGGCTTTATAATACCTCATTTGATATGGTGCATTAAAAATTCGATAGTATCTACTTTCTCCAGCAATTTCAAGTCATTTTCTTGTAGATCAGAAACAACAAATACGCAACAAAGAAAAAATTTTCAACTATTTCAACCACTCGTATTTTGTTGTATCATTGTTTCATACCGACTATTATGAATGGCTGTAGCAACAAAAAAAAGACGTAGATTTCACAGTTCAGCAGGTTACAAAAAAAAAATACAACATGGATTCTTCCTTCTGCCTTATTATTAAGGATCTTTCATAGATTTCTGAACAAGAATTTTTGAAATTGACATAGAGTATCCCTAAATGTTTCTAACAACGACTGCTCAAAAGTTATGAAAATTATAGTCAGCCGACAACTGCACTACTTCAGCAAATTTGAACACCGATAAAAATTTTGTCTCTTTTGTGAAATTAAATTAAAAAAAAAATGAAAAAAAAAAGCGAGGAAAATATAATGACAGAAAAAAGATTGATCGCTATCAGAAGAAAACAAAAAAATAAACTATGGTTTTAAGTTGACTGAGACTAAAGATTATTTCGCTGTTCAGTGAAACTAACAACGTTTTCAACTGAAGTGTTCAAAAAAAAAAAAAAAAAGAAAAACGAAAAAAAGAGATATTTTGTAATTATTTTTCACATAGCCTTTGATAGGTAAGAAATTTTTTCTCTTCCTCGATAAAAAGAGTTGAGAGGGAAAACTTAAACAGAACAATAACTGATGAAAAAATTTCAGGTTTCTCAGCCCTAATTTCCAGTTTGGCTTCGGTGCCGAACATGACAGTTTTCTGCGTTGTTACTGATGCTGCAGTCGGAAAACGGCTTATGGGACAGCGCTGAACGATATTCGGTCAGTAGCGCACGACAGGCAGCAGTTTCTGCCTACAGACAGAATGGCGGATGTAAAGCATTTGCGATAGAATATCGGACTGCCATGTATATCATCGATTGCGATATTGGTCTTTTTATTTTTATTTTTTTTTGAAACTATAGCACTTCAGTGACGTTGCTGAAAAGCGCAGACAATTTGTTGCCCAAAATGGTATGAATTTGAAATGTATAATTGCTGTAAAACATATGCCATCCAAAATTATTAATGTTTTTGGCAAATAAAATTTTCTGTTCATCATTAATATTGATTTTTTGTCTTGGTGATTTTCCATTAGTATACTAATCTTGTTCAAATATATTCGTTTTTCAAAGTTAAACAAGCAAAACGAGACAAAAGGAATAGAAAAAAATGAAATGTGAAAAAAGAAAGTCAGAAAGAAAAATCGAGGAAAAAAGACACCGGAAAATAATATTAAAGGAGGTGAAGAAAAATGAAATTTAATTTTTGATTTTAAGGACCTGTTTGAAATTGGAAATCAAATATACCTAACAGATCTGTTTTTTTTTTGTTATCTTTAGCACGCCAGAATATTTATTTGTTTCTGAGTCCAAATTTTCTCACTCTTTGTACTCAAGAAAGAAAAAAATTTAAAAAACCATATAGTTTCAGAATTGGTTTTAGTGGTAAAAGACAGAATTACATACTCCATTAAATGCATTTTTAAATTTCTAAAAAAAAAAATGGAGTATTCTCTCCGTTATCCCCGTTTGTTTTCACTATAAATTTTAAACTTCTTTGTTTGATCAAATTTCCTTAAAAAGGCAGAAAGGAAATCATTTCAACTCTTAAATTTACAACTATTCCTCAGCTGGCTTCATAATCAGTCATTAAAACAACTGCTAATAAAATTCCTTAAGAAATTTAGTTCCAAAAATCACTCCAAAACAACCGGTCAAAGTCACCACACGCGGTATCCATACAAGTTCCAGCTTTTAATTAAAGAATTTGTTGCAATTGTTTAGTAAACGTCGGTTGACCATCGCCGAAATAAGCGACGATGAAAATGGAATCGTCTCTGGTAAAACAGAAAACTGCTTTAATTGTGTCAGTTAAAGTGTCCTGCAAAACTATGCAAACTAACATCCTTGAATTGCACATAGGGCTGTTTGCCGAGTTCGGCTACGCAAGCAAATGCCGCGTCCTTCTGAACGATCATTTGGCAGAAGCGCATCTGCTCGGAACGGTACAGTGAACCCATGATAGCCGATAGTTCAGTTCGTCACAGCACACTTACGTCAAATTTTCCTTACAAAACGACGGTTTTTTTTTCGGCTTCTGAAAGTTAAAAAGTAGGAAATGAAATAAGGATCAGAAACTATTCTTTTATTAATATACTTAAACTTTTTTTTTTCTCAAAGCGCCAATCCCGGTGTATGAGAATGCAAATGGAAATGTAGTGAACGACTGTTCTCCGACAAAAATAGAAACATGCGTAAAAGATAAACTGGCGTATTTCGACATTCACAAATACAACTAAAACGATTTAAGCCAACAACAGTACAAGGAAAAAATGCTTTTGCAAAAATAAATTTCAAAAACATATTAAACAAACAAATTCATGACCAGCAAAAATTTCTGTTTTTATTTTTTCAAATAATCTTTATGAATAAAATAAGCAAAAAAAAAGATTTTTTTCTTTTAAGCAAATGAATAAAATGATTAGAAATTTGTGAATAATAATTAGAGCAAAAAAAAGCAAATATTTTTATTTGATAGGTACTTAGTAGCTGTCAGCAGAGAAGGCAACAGTATAAACTTATTGAATTAAGTAGAAGAACGATTTGTTAAATGGCACACGTCTTTCTCTCTCCCTTTTCCTTTCTTCTAACTTCATTAAGGCAAAATTTCGGAGCAAGGTAAACTTAAAAATATAGCAAGAAAAAGATTCTGCCTGGTGAACCGTAAAAGTTAATCAACAATTTTTCAGCTAGATGATCTGAGAATAGTCATAACAATTATACTGAAGCCTACTCGTTACTCAGCAAGTCTAGTTCTCTGGCCGAAATCTTTGAGTCGGTCACCTATTTGCTCAGCTACAATAGCTGTAAAAATATAAGTGTTGTTTATGCACACAGTCCAGTAACACAATAATTCTGTGTATGGCAAACGAAACTGGAACCATTTGTAATTGCAACAAATTTATTTAAGGACAGAATAATATTTCTGTAAAAGGTAAGAAACAGAGCGATAGAGGGAAGAAACAACATTCCTTCCTTGTGTTAAACAGTCTGAATAAGTCAACAGGAGAAACAATTCCAAATAATAAAAGATCAATTGCAGTCAAAGCCACAGAGCCTCCAAGTGTGGAATAAATAGAGCAAAATAAGCAAATAACAAACAAATCCGTAAAAAAGTTGTGGAAAAGTGACTGCAAAAACTTTTTTTGTTGATTTTTTAAGACTGTTTTACCAAGACTGACTCCCAGAAAATATAAATGAACTTTCAAATGGCATAAAAAAATTTTTTTTCATTCACGATCATATGCCGACATAGCAAAACTGATACAAAACGACTGATCTTTGTTGGTAAGACTATTTTCTGGTTTTCGGTCCGCCAATGAAAATGCGCCCGCGTCTCTGTTTCTCCGCACTCGATGGGTATGTTGTTCGCTACTGCTACCATCATCACCATCGTCATCGTCGTCGCCATCATCATCATTACAGTTACCATTTACTGTTACCAGCATCATCATTGTTGTTACTCCGCGAAGTCACTACAACATCCTTGGAAATAAAAATCAGTTTACTCCTTTCCGTTGTTTTGATTTTGTTCTATTTACCGATGCTAACTCTTGAACAGTTCTAGTGACAGCAAAGGGGGAGGGAAGGGGAGGAGAGGAAAAACAAGTTCCCAAAAACAGTTTGGTTAACAGTTGACGATGAATCAGCTAGAACGACGACGAGGCAGTGCCGTTGCTCA